TGGGAAGTTTGGAGAGCACTCAATAAGCTAGAGTTGCTCTCGGCTATCGCCTCGGGCGACTCTTACGCTTCTTTCGTGCTCTCAAAACTTCCCGCGTGCTCCATAACTCGATAGTGCACGCTAAAGCATGAACCAATTGTTAAATAAAAATGTCCATGGGCTAGAAGCCGAATGAAGAAGCCGAATGAAGAAGCCGAAAAACGAATTACATAATACAGCTGCATGCACTGGAGCAGCTTTGTTGTGATGGTTTTTCCCTAAAAAACTTTTGGGCAATTATTGCTCATGTCCAATCCTTCAAACTTTGTCGTTGTAGCTACCTACTGGGAGATCAGCTTACATCTAATTCAAGTATGGATATCTACGTAAAGGTTCTGCAGTCGGGTTGTCGGTGTATCGAAAGTAAGAATTTGTATTTTTGCACCTTTTTACAGGCCTAAATTTTAATTTTATCGGTTTTATATTTTCATCCTTTGTTTTTACTTCCGAGTGAAAGACACCTAGTTGTAATGCTGCCTCTTGATTATTATGCTTATTTCTCTTTTCATATTCGAGGAGCGCTTTTCAATCAAGTGTCGAAAGTAACCCTGGATCACTTTGGTTCGCTGCACTGCTCTGTGTGATTGGTTAAGAAAACGTGTGGCAGCCTCTCATCCATTGGGTTTTAAATGCTGTTTTCCAAGTATCTGTACAGCTCGTTTATTTGTCGAAGAGTTATTTCTGTGCCGTGTAAACTTATTCCCCAGCACAAAAAACTATTCTCGACCTTTTTTCACTTTATAACTGTCGGGATGAGAAAGAATAAGACTTGAACATTCCAGGATATTTCAAATGAGATGATCCAACATTCTGCCCTGTTTATTTTTTTTTATTATTTATTTCTGTGTGCTTTCAACTCCGCAGTTGACTGCTGGGATGGAAAGGATGGTGAACCTGTGGTTTATCATGGCTACACGATGACATCCAAAGTGAAATTCCGTTACATCATTCTTAATATCAACGACTTTGCCTTCCTTCATAACAAGTAAGAAAGAACTGTACTTAAAAGCAAACGGCCTAACTAAGAACCGCGGGAAGACTTTAATTTTCCTTTGGTGAAGCAAGTCGTAAATATTGCGATACTGGTACAGCATGTAAAGTTAGCAATATTAATCCATCTTGTAAATATGTGCTCATTCTTGCTAAGTCGGCGGTAACCCACCTTATTACACAGCCGGCAGCGCGCGTGGGCAATATGAAGCGAATCCTGTGTTCTGATTGGCTACCCGAACGGGCAAGATGGGCCACCTTGATCCCACCCTCGAAAAATATTGCGTAGAGCGGACTTACAAAGTTCGTAATTTTTGACAATGGCGGCGATGGAGTCAAACACAGTTCGATTTCTTTTCTGGCTCGAAATGAACATGTCATTCTTGATTGTTATTACATCGAAAAATTTTTTGCTATAAGATAAATCCTTCCTTGACCTAGCCTGTCAAGATGGGTAGCCATTCTGACCTCATGCTTGTTTAATAACCCATAAATATATGAAACTTCGCAATTTTAAATGCAAACACAATTCAATAGTTTTCTTCTTTCTAGATATCCAGTTATTCTTTCGTTGGAGAATCACTGCAGTGTCAGCCAACAAAAAGTTATGGCGAGTCTTATGCAAGATATTTTTAAAGATATCTTTTGGAAACTTGACCTACTTTTCATCTAGTATTCTCTTCCTCAAGTCTGGTAGAGAAACTTGTACCTTGATTTGCCTTAACGTTTCTTAGATAAACTGATCTATGAGACAAGTTTGGATAGAAAAGATTTACCCTCACCTCAGAGTTTAATGGGTAAAATTCTGATAAAGGTATATGCCAATAAGGACATGTTATATAATTTAGTTATCGCATGTCCCTTTGCATTTAATTTTTTTATCTCTTCCCTTTCCTCCTCGTTTAACGATAAAAGTTCAGGTTATTTAAGTTATTTTGCGATGTGAATCATGCCTTGAATATTTATGCTTCACGAATAACTTAATTTAGGAAAGAAATAGGTGGCAATTGATCTTCAACTAAAAGAAGACACTTGATAGCGAGAAGCTCTTAGACATGCTATAACAATTGCTCTTACCATATACAATTATGAGTTCCCTGTGTAGAGTCTCAAGCGTTCCCCCTTTGTAATACTACCCCTCCCTCCCTCCCCCCCCCTTACCTCCAAAGTAAAAAGTTGAAATCTATAGGATTTTGAACCAAAACAATGCATGCTGCACAGGAAATAGTTGATAAGTCGTATTTGGTCTCCTCTAGTAGCTCCTCGTCTAGAAGCCCTGTAAATTTATACCAACCAGCGGGAAAGGGGTGAAAGGGGCTTAGCAAAGGCATATGATGGAAGCTTTTTAATATTTGAAGGCCAAAAAACTACCAGCCACTTTTGACCAAGGGTTAGATGAAGGGGAAGTAACAGAAGAAGATTCGGCCGATGAAATGGAGGAGGCTTTTAAATTCAGAGATCATGAGGTGAGAACTCCAATTCTAACTCAGCTAAATTTACTCAGAATAAGTACTTTCAATAAAAAATTTTATCGAAAACATCAGAACCAATGGCTCCCCTTGCATCAGAATCAACAAACTCTGACTACTTTTTTATTTACTCGTACAGCATTTCTCGGTACCATACGTAGAACAAAAGCATGATATCACTTTTGTTTTACAGGCAAACAACCACTTCACAGTACTTTTCAAACATTGCTATCGCAGGATTCAGTATTTACTTTTATAGACCTGAATTAATTATCAGCCTATCTCTCCAATGGCTCCCCTTGCATCAGAATCAACAAACTCTGACTACTTTTTTATTTACTCGTACAGCATTTCTCGGTACCATACGTAGAACAAAAGCATGATATCACTTTTGTTTTACAGGCAAACAACCACTTCACAGTACTTTTCAAACATTGCTATCGCAGGATTCAGTATTTACTTTTATAGACCTGAATTAATTATCAGCCTATCTCTTACCCTTTATCTCTTTTGTGTTTATCCTTATTCCAGGAGGCGTTAGAGCCCTAGCACAACAGTTTAATCGGGAGGTATAGAGCTGATTCAATTATCAGCTTATCTCTTACCCTTAATCTCTTTGCGTTTATCCTTATTCCAGAATGCGGTAGAACAGAAAGCCAAGAAGCGCAAATGGCGACGCACCCTTGCGTCCCTACAGCGCCTCCGTTTGAACAAAGATGACGAAGAAAATGACGCTCGTGGCGACCTTAGCTCAGCAATTGTGACGTCCGTGGCTTTAGAAGAACCCAATTCAGTAGGAACATCAAAAGGCGTACCAAGGGTGTGTAGTCAATTCCTTGCATCGATTATGTTAGTTGTTGTTGGTCTTGTTATTGTTTTTGTTGCTCAGGGATTGGAGAAAGCTTTACAACACGTTATTGGTTACTGATGTTGGATAGCACAAGTTATGAAAATGTTTAAGTCATCTACTGCAATCACACACTTTTTTTCGTAGCGTTTTTGAATGAACAAGGACGGCAGAGCTAGAAATCTATTCTTCAACCCTTTGACCCCTAAGAGTGACTAGCATCTGATTTTTCCCTGCAATATCACCCCACCCCACCCCCCCTGAATCACTCGTTACGGTCACGAGAATAAAAGAAGTAATCACTAGCTAAAGAAGCTCTTGATTGCTGAACAAATTCTCCTTGTCAGCACCTTAGTAAATGTAGAGAGAACAGTATGGAGAATATGCATGCGGATGTTAGGGTGTGAGGGTTAAACATCACAAGTTTAAAGAGAATTCGGCGTTTAAACAATCCATGTACGTGACCTATATTATATAAATTCTTTTTCCTGATCAATGGTTAAGTCTTACGTTAAATGTTGTGTGAAAGTGTAGTGTGATCGTCCTGGCGAGTGTAGTCCTGAGAAGTACTGTTGTCGGTGGTAGTGACTGACGTTTCGACAACCTGTGCGGAAGTCATCAGAGTCAAGTGAATAGTTGTTGTCATTAGAATGTTCTTAGTCCAGTTCGTGTAAAACGATTGGTCAGTTTTACAGGGATATTATTGGCTGTAAGACTCAAGTGACGACCAACTTACGCAGCAACAACCATTCACTTGACTCTGATGATGACTTCCGCACAGGTTGTCGAAACGTCAGTCATCACCACCGACAACAGTCCCTCTCAGGACAACACTCACCAGGACGATCACACTACACTTTCACATGTTACCCCCGGGCTCAAACCATTTACTACTTTAAATGTTGTGTCATGAAGAATAGAGGGAGCTCGTAGAAAAAATTTGCTCTTAAAAGCTTTCATTTTTTTTTTTCTCTCAGCTTGGAAGATCGCTGTCTGCAAAATATGTCTTTGATCAGCGTCCTCGTGATCAGCCGGCAGAAATAAGAAAAACACAAAGCTTTAGTGAGAAAGATAAGGTATAGTAATACATATAAACACCTCTAAAGCAAGGAAAGTATTTCTAGCGGTATGGAACGAGAACTCGCAAAAACTCTCATAATTCCGTTGGTATGGAACGGTTTGGTAGTATGATTTATCTTTATTTCTCAGAAAATGAGTAGGCGATCTAAAAAGGTTACCTCCAACGACGAGGTGGGTATTTGTGCTAATTATTACGACTCATTATTATTTGTTTTGTTTTGTTTTTTGTTTTTTTTGTTACCATATATGTACTTTTTGCCCTTCAGTTGTCTAAATTTTGTGATCCTTAGATGTCCACAAAGTTTCGGAAGCTAGTACGACTTGGGTCAATAAAATCTTTGCGTTTTGTTTATTTATACTTCCTGACCATTGCTTTTCTCTTGCTTATGGTAACAGGATTTCACAAGAAAAATTAAGTTAAGCAAGCAGCTTTCTGATCTTGTTGCCTACACGAGGTCATCAGCATTCAAAGGACTGGATCTTAATGAGAATGGTGCGTAAAGACATGATGTAGTTCAAAATACCGCAGTTCAAAATATATGAACTTCATATATTCATTGCATCTCATGTAGAGATATCATGTGTCACGAGTTTGGGAGAAAGAAAGTATTTGAGTCTTCTATGAGCTCTCTGCCGTTAAACCTTCTAATCTTACATATTTATCCTGGGAAGGTCGCAAGACCTTGGGGGATTACTTGGTTTTCAGGGGAACCGGAGGGGGTATCAGTCGTCTCAAGCAGAATTTATCCCTTTAACTCCCATAGGTGACCAGGAAAGAATTTCTCCTTACAATATCAATACAATATCAAGCAGACAGGTGGTGAGATTCAAGAAAAATATCAATCAGAGGATTATTAGTTGATCCAATACCAAATTCCTAGAACTAATAGCATAAGAATCATATAGAAGGAAGTAAGGAGAATTATTTATGAGATCTTGGGAGTGAAAGGGTTAAGACGTGGACTAAAGAAAATTGACTTCCAGGGAGGGGATCATTAGAATAAAAGCGATCCTTATGATGCAATCAGGTAGGTTTTATTATGACAGAGTCAAAATCCTCGACCCCCTCCTCGACCCCCTCCCCCCCCTTCAGGCGATGAATTATGACCGGCTCCCCAGATTAATTATGTGTATTGGTTATTCAACGATTTACGCGAAAAGTGTTATTGAAAGTAGATTTTTTTTTTTTCACAGATACCCACTGTGAGGTGTGCTCAGTACCTGAATCAAAAGCTTACAGATATGTCGACACAAAAGGCGAGCAATTCGTGCGTTACACAAGATATAAACTTTGCCGAGTATACCCAGCAGGTTACAGAATAGACTCCAGCAACCCAAATCCACAAGCCTTCTGGAACTGTGGCTGCCAACTAGGTAAGAGAGAATGTTGTCCGGTTGCATCTGCCTGCCATAGCAAGGCAGATGCTATAATTAAAGTGTGCAACTGTCTTTCAGAGTTTCAGAAAATTTAGCTTTGATAAATGCCATAGTGGAAGGTACGATGAGTCACCAAAATCAATTACATTCTTTCATTATCATCTTTATTTGCCTTATTTTAACAATTAAAAAATAGTTAATTACAGCGATAACAGTTAGAAGGCGAGGAGACCCAAGAAGCCACCAGGCTTATGGGAGAGCCACCTCACTTAGAATAATAAATTAAGTAAAGAAAAAGTGCTGCGAATGTGCGGCTTGGCCAATTCAGTGATTATTTAAGTAAAAACTCTTGCAATTTCGCTTTAAAGCTAAGAAAGTTTGACGAACGAGTGACTGAAATAGGGAGAGAGTTCCAAATTTTAGGACCTTGGTAGAGAATTGTAAACTGCTTGACATTTGTACGGCACAAATGCGTTCGATAATTACTGGCTGTTCTGGTACCATAGTTGTGAATTTGGCTATTCCTTACAAAAAGATCGAGAAGCAATGGGGGCAATAAGTTATTTTTGAAATAAAACATAAATTTAGCGATTTCAAACGTATTGACTTGGAAAATATCTAAAATTCCTAGTTTGGAGAATAAAGGGGCAGAGTGGTCTCGATAGTCTGAGTTGGTGATAGCCCGCACAGCTCGCTTTTGCAAATAATAAATTCTATTTAAGTTAGATACGTATGTGGACGACCAGACGGAGTTACAATAGACGATATAAGGATAAACTAAGGTGTAATACAAAGTGAGTTTGGTTGCAGAGGATAGGGAAAAGCGAGACCTAAATATAATACCTATTGATTTAGCGATTTGTTTACATACATAGCTGATATGGTATTTCCAGGTGAGATGATTGTCAATATAGACCCCAAGGAATTTAGTTACATTAGCTTGTTGTAGGGGTTTACCTCCAAAGGAGAGAGAAATGCTGGAGTTAAATTTCTTCTGTCTGGGTTTAAAAATTATATAGTTGGTTTTCTTTA